CCGCCACGGAATAGGCATCTCTCTGTGGAAGGGTTACGATCTCTCTCACGGTCTTCTCTCCACTGTCTTTCTCTTTACATGGTCCGTCTCTCTCTCTCTCTCTCTCTAACACCGCCACCCTGGTCCCTCTCTTCCTCTCCGTGCCGCGTGTGGCCTTTAGATTCCCGAACTCTCTACTGACTGAAGGGGCTGGAAGTGCTTTGCGCGATGCCTTTAAACGTAAAAGAAACAGAAAAATGGAAAAAGGGGAAAAGTTAAAGGAAGAGGGATATTATACTCTCTGTCCTCTCTCCTTTGCAGAATTGAGTTGGAAGCAAAAAGTCGCACGCGTGAGGCATAGCTTTCACCAGCGCAAAGGTTAAGTACCTGGTTTCACAGCAAATGTTTAGTTAACCCACCGCTCTCTCCTCATCCTCAACCAACTATGTGCGTATGTGTCTATGTATCATCCTCAACCAACTATGTGCGTATGTGTCTATGTATCTTAGAAAGAGTCAAAGGGAGTAGCCTTCCTAGCTTTTGCACTCAGGGAACCGAGCCGCTTGCGACTCGTGGTCCTTTGCTGGGGTGGGTTTTTAATGTTTCTCGATTTTAGAAGGATGGGCGGTTTGGGAGTCCACCACCTCTTTTTTAAATAAATAGGAGGGACGACGCGCTTAAATTTATCATAATCACATCTCGGAAACTTCTTCCTTATGAACCACCTTTTGTTTTTTTTTCGAGGACCTCCTTATGAACCAGCTCTTTCTCTCTCTTCCCTTTTTTAATTATATATATATATATATATATACATATATATCTGCTTAGCTAGAAAGTAGCAGCAGCAGCAGCTCGCACTGTCTTATAATAGTTTGGAGGTTAAACGAACGGGAATTGAAGTGATCCGGTGAATTGGCAAGCGGATAAGACTCCTTCGTCTTAATCATCATCATCATTATCATCATCCATGCACCAAATGCGGGGTCGCAGCTAAACCCCTTCTATACTGAGGGGACCAAATCCACAAAGGATAAGATTTACCAACTTGAACTAATCTCAACCAGCAGAGCCCTTCTTCACCGTTCTCTGTTTTCTCTCTCTCTCTCTCTCTCCACGTGTAGCAAGTAAAACTCGAATAGATTGATGAGAGCCATGAGGGCTTAACTAACTGCACAAGTAGGCTTGAGATGGGGGCGGAGTGGTGCTACTTGAGAGAGCAAGAGACCAAACAACTCCATGACTCCTATTCTTCTTTTTCTTCTTCTTATTTCATGGATAAATCATCATCACCATCTTTGCCTTTGAGGAGTAGGAGGAGGCTTCTTTGGGTTCAAGGCCCTGTCATAGTGGGTGCAGGACCTTCAGGGCTCGCCACGGCCGCATGTCTAAAGGAGAGACGGGTTCCGAGCCTCATACTAGAGAGGGCCAACTGCATCGCATCTCTCTGGCAGCTTAAGACATACGACAGGCTGAGCCTCCACCTGCCCAAGAAATTCTGCGAGCTCCCCTTGATGCCCTTCCCTTCCCACTTCCCCACATACCCCACCAAGCAGCAGTTCATCCAATACCTCCAGGACTATGCCCAACACTTTGGGCTGGAGCCGGCCTTCAATGAGAGGGTCGAGTGTGCAGACTACGACCCCAGTGTGGGGCTTTGGAGGGTGTGCACGTCATCTTGGACCGAGTATGTGTGCCGGTGGCTGGTGGTGGCTACTGGAGAGAATGCGGAGGCGGTTCTGCCTCAGATTCGGGGGATGGACGAGTTCCAAGGCCCTATCATTCACACCTCATGTTACAGGAGCGGTGCCGGCCTTGATGGTCAGAGGGTTTTGGTGGTGGGGTGCGGCAACTCAGGGATGGAGGTCTGCTTGGATCTCTGCAACCACAATGCCAGTCCCACTCTCGTTGTCCGCAATCCGGTAGCACAAACCTTTCTCTCCTCTTCTTTGTTTGCTTGCTGTCTTTTTCTTCTTCTTCCATATTAGTTTAGGGTGGAATCATGTCTCCCTCTGTCTCTCTCTCTCTCTCTTTCTAGTTTATATAGAATGTCAAAACGTCTTATTTCTCGTCAATCAAGAGACCATGACTATGATATACCGAATACCACGCCACACCCCAATATACCGTTACCGCACCCGGGAGTTAGAACTACAGGCTTTTTTTCTCTGGGCTTTATTGAGAGAGGGAATAAAGTAGTGGGCAAATAGGAATATTGTGCCGATAGAATGGTGGGTAGATAGGTGATGTTTGTGTTACTTATTAGCACGCGTCATAACCAATAAAGAAGCCACTCTCCCTATACCTCTGATATGGGTTTAGGGTTTCTGATTTGGTTTGGATTGTGTGGGGAAGTGCAGGTGCACGTTCTGCCGAGGGAGATGCTGGGGAAGTCGACGTTCGGAGTGTCGATGTGGTTGCTCAAGTGGTTCCCAGTGAGAATGGTGGATCGCTTCCTCTTGTTGGTGTCGTGGTTGATGCTGGGGAGCACGGCGCGCTTGGGCCTTGCGAGGCCCCGTGTAGGTCCCTTGGAGCTCAAAAGCAAAGCCGGGAAAACCCCAGTTCTGGACGTCGGAACCCTAGCCAAGATCAGGTCAGGTCAGATCAAGGTAAGCTCTCTCTTCCACCTTTCCTATGAGTATGGACAGGCATAACAATCCGGTAATTAACGATTAATGAAGTAGGAAAAAACAAATTAGAGGCACCTCTGGTGCTGCTAAAAATTCTAAATTCTTCTGAGACATACGTTTCTAGCTCTGATTGGCGAGTAGGGTAGTGTGATAGGAATGGGATCTCTGAGAGAGTGTTGTACTGAGATGGAGATGAAATGATGATAGGTGAGGCCTGGGGTAAAGCGACTGAGAGCGCAGGGAGCAGAGTTCGAAGATGGGAAAGGAGAAGAGTTTGATGCTGTGATCCTCGCCACTGGTTACAAAAGCAACGTACCCTCTTGGCTAAAGGTAGTTTTCTATTTATATAACTCACCCACGTCCTTACATTTGGCTACATGTTATGTAACCATGGAGAGCAGGGATCTCGAGATTCCCTTCCATTTCCCCATGGTACAGAGAGGAATCTTGCCTTTTTCTCTCTCTAACATGGAGCCGGAGCCGGAGCCGGAGCCGGAGCCGGACCGGAGACGGAGCCGGAGCCAGAGCCAGTGAAAGCAAAGAGAGGTTGTGAGTGGTTCTGTTTTTTTTTTTACTCTTGTGTCAGGAAACAGATTTTTTCTCAGTGGAGGATGGCCTGCCGCGCACGCCTTTCCCAAATGGATGGAAAGGCAAGAGTGGGCTCTACGCCGTTGGATTTACGAAGCGGGGAATCCTGGGGGCTTCTATGGACGCCGTCAGAATAGCCCAGGATATCGAGCGCGATGGACGGACGAGTCAAGGCATCTAATCCTCGCGTCCTCCAAACCTACATCCTCTTATTGACTCGCTATTCTAATCCCCCCCTATCAATCAATAGAAGCGGCATACATGTTTGGCGTTGGCCATGCCTATTTCTCCACCAACCAATCAACAAACATCTTTGTGTATATCTGCCATTTTTTCCTGATTAACTAAAACCACATTTGGGAGGGAGGAGAGAGGCCCCAGAACATCATACATAGCTACCTACTCACAAGAGAATTTCTATTCTTTGTTAGTTCTATTTGTTTCTTTGTTCACTCTCCCTGTCTATCTCTCTCTTAATATCTCATCTCACCTCATCAACTAAGATTTGTACTATTATATTTTGTTGTCGTTGAGCTGTTTCTTTTCTTGTAATTTGAAGCCACAACAGTTTGGAGGTCCTCTTTGCATCTACTTGTAACGAGAGGGTGGAATGGAGTGGCTTGAGAAATGGGGGTTGTTTCCCACAGCTAAAGCCACATCCGTGTACCCACCCCATCACCATGTTGCTTGACTCCATGTCTTCTCTTGAGCTTTAGCACGTGGTTTGCACCACCACCCCTTGTTGTTTTCATTTCATTGCTGGATGGGCGGACCACTTACATAAGTGCCCAATTTGCTGTAAAAGTCCAAGCCACACAAAACCCCAATCTCCGGTGCCCTTTTTACCCGTTCCATGTCCCTCCCTCCCTCCCTCCCTCTACCAAAGATGAAAGATCCTTCTTTTTCTCTTTCAAGAAGCTAACTAATCTTCCCGGTAAACGGGGAAGGGTGGGAGAGATTGCTTTATTGAGGTGGGGTGGGCGTGGGGTGTGCGGTGGGGTGGGGAGGGAGAAAGGGATGGGTGATGAATGCTCGCAATTACAATCAAATCACATCAAAAGGTTCTTCTCATCACTAAACTAGGCCCAGCAGCAGAGCCTTTGTCAGTGCCAGTCAACCATTGGACAAATAATTGCATTTGCATTCCATCTCCTCCCCCCTCTTGACTTTCTCCGTTTCCATCCCATCACTCCGAACTCTATATTAGGTGCGGGCACGAGGCCGCGGTTACACGATAAAGGATTTGGATATTTATTGAAGAGTAATGATCCACGTTACTTCACCCGCGTGTAGAATCATCATTAAAAGTTGATATGGATTTCTAACAAAATTATCATAACAGTGTTATATTAAATTTGATAGTGATTTTTTTTTGAGTCCTATACATATCGAAAAGGATCTATAACGATCTTATGGGATCATTTCTCTTTATCAAAATATTTTTCACTTAAAAACCTTGTCAAGACGTAAAACATATGCTGCTCCTAATTTTAGCCGTCCAAGTTATTTGGAATAGTTCATCTCTTCATTTCATATGTTACAAGATGCGTTATATATGAGATCTATGATTATCATGATATCGACTTTAATTAATTGAAAAAAGACTATGATGTTGATGATCATCAATTTTGAGTGACAAAATTGAACCTGAATGGTTAATCGAACATGGGGCTGGAAGCGGTTTGAATCGGAAAGAGACTAACCGGGGCGATGAACCGGACTAACCGAGGCGATTAACCAGACTAACCAGTTAAGTAGTTTTTTTTTTTTTGAATGGGTCAAAAAAGCCCCAAAAATTAAAAATAAACATAGAAAAACTTAGATTAAATGTATAATATCTTATTATATACATTTATCTTACAAAAAAAAAATAGAAACAACTTTTCTAAATTAATATTTGAATACTATGGTTCTGTACATGATTTCAAGCAGGTCGCATAAATCTTTTTGTTTACTATATTAGGATATTTTTTGAAGACACTTTTGTCATCTAACATCTCCTTCCAAGAATTAACATATTTATCCCAAACCGTACATGAAAAACTTTCTTAGTTTCTTTTGTACAAATATCGCTCACATTAGTAATGAAAGTTTACGCACTATTTTGGAAATAACAAAAGTAGCTCGATGATATTAAATCAAATAAAAATGCCAACTAATTAAGATAAGATAGGAAACATAAAGGACCTCTTCCATATAGTTAGATAAAGCATAATTCATACAATACTTTTTCTATAAAGTTAAATAAGGCATACTTTACAAAACTTACATCTTATGATCTGCAACAAATCGAAAAATCAATACACAATGCACTGATATGTTCTCATATATATTTACCATTTCTATATAAGTGGGTTTTGCATTGATTTTATTAAAAATTAAGAATAGTAGAACAAATAATTTTATCATTTATTAAGCAAATAGAAAAACACTTTCCATACTCATCATAAAAATTAATTTTATTAAAAAACCATAATTTTATCAAAAAAATAATTTTGTTAAGGAAAATAGAAAAACTCTTCCCGTATTCATCAAAAAACATAATTTTATTAAAAAAATAAATTAGCAATATATATAAAAAAACTTCGCATATTGTTAAAAAAACATAGTTTTATTAAAAAAAATGATTTTTTTCTTTTTTTTAAAAAATCAATTGCTGAAACCCATAAAATCGAGGAATATTTCGAGCAAGAAGTCAATTTCGCCCTAAAATTAAGTGTTTATATATCTGCAAGATATGTACCATTTCTTTATTTTGGAATTTGACTGTCTATATTGGAAATCAATTTTAGAGCCATGGAGATTTCCATTGCCGATAATACTTTTTGGATGAAGATTTGAGGCATAAAAGCTAGGCCTTATAGAAACCTCATCATAAAGATAAATAATTTCATAGTATACATATACCCCCACCGAGTCCCTAGCATTCTTATCCTACCACGCATCATTTCATGCCCCAATTCCTTCTATTATTCGATCTAATGGGGCACAGAATAAGATCCTGGAGTAGTAGTGGGTGGGTCTAGGCTCTCAAAGCAATAATAATAATAACAGTAATAATGCCATATTATTGATAGGGGTACAGGACTTAGATTATATAAAAAAGGTCGCAAGCGTGCATGTGGGGAACGGCAGTGCAGTACTCTTTATGTATGTAACATAATGAACACTTTGCCTCCTCATGGGACTCCGTTTTTTGTTGTTAGATTTGATGGAGAAAGGGGCCCTCTGAGCACTAGGCAGAGGGAGCCTTTTCTCTCTCTCTTGTGCTTTATGTCCCGTCTGGTCTGGCTAGAGAGACGAACCACAACAGATGCTAGAGGTCAGAGACTATAAACAACTTTGCATACTCTTTATCTCTCTCTCTCTAAGCCCTAAACCCTAAACCTTGACCACAATCTGAAAAAAAATGGGACCACCAACTACATGACAAGTTGAATCCGCCGAGTCCTACAAGTCTCCCTACTAGCAATTTATGTCCTCACCCCAAAAATCTCCTCTTACATCCATCCCCTATTCCCTTACCTACTACTCTCTACTCTGTGGCATCAATACTTTTGGGTCATTTGTTCGATGCAAGTTCTGCCTACGTTTGTTTGGGGGAAATGCGTTTTCAGAGGCCGCAGCTTCCAAAGTGCATGATTGCCAGCCTCCTTTTCCATGAAACAAACAAGGTAGAGACACTAGGTGTTGCTTCCTAAACAAATTGACTATGGGTGAGGGTTGTATAACGTGCCGACCATTTTTCTTTTTGTTTTTTTGTTAGTTCAGTGGTAGGAATGAAACTTGGGAGGTAGGGTTGCTTGATTTCATTTGCTAACCACTTAAGTTCAAGCCTCATAAAAACGATGATTTAAAAATCTATGTTCAACCTTAATTATGAAATTTAGAATTTTAAAAATGGTATAGATTGAGCACATCTATAAATATTTGAAAACCTTGAAATAGACGGTTTAGATAACTTGTTACAAGATCCACTATTTTTAGAACTTGAATTTCGTTTTTTTTTTTTTCTTCTTTATATCTATACATCTTGAGCTGATCAATTGGAGGGTTCTTGAACTTCTGAGAATTCTTTTCTACTAGATTTTTGAGATGTTCATTTCTTCTACAGTATGTGGTTGCAACCTTATATAAAATTTTTCCTTTAAGGACATATACATCAATTGGGCTTAACAATGACTAGCGAAGGTAACTATTGTGTTAGGTTTAGTGATTGTCAAAATCACCACCACTATGTTTTCATCAAAAGATTGAGAATGTTATGGTAAAAAGAAAATGAGCTTTCTTAGGGAGCAAGAAAGAAGTATAGTGATCTCTATAAAGGGGGTCAAGGAAATATAATTCTCATCCTTTTGGTCATCCCTTTGGGGGTCATGAGAATAGATCTCCAAGAAGGAGATGGGTCTCCAAGGCAGAGAGAGGTTGCCGCCTAGAGGGAAGCGGTATTCCAATGGGATTTTGAGTTGGTTAAGTTTTTACTTCTAGAGATAAAGTATCTTGATTGATCTCAATGTACTCTTTCCAATAGCAGTGTAGTGGTAAAAAAGATGAATTTTAGAAGGGAATATCGTTGAGGTTCTTATCAATGTTCAGAATTTGTAATCCAAAATTATAATCTTCATTGAGATAGTAGATTTTTACTTGTCAAGATTGTGGATGTAGTCGTACGTGATGAACCACATAAATCTTGTGTCTTTGTAATATGATTTTATTTTTTTTATTTCACTCTAGCCAATTATGTCCATGATCTTGGGTAGGATCTAGATATCTAAAATTTTTAGTACCACAAAGAAGGGGTTTCCGACAATCTAATACTGTGAAAATCTCCAGTGATATATTTACAAACTTAAAATGATAAAGATTCCTAAAAACAAAGTTTTGACCGATAAAATCCTTAGAATTGAGAAACTACGTAAGTTCTCAATGAAGAACTTAATAATCCATATAGAAAGAGAGAATCTCTATTTATATGCGCATACATCCAAAATATTTATGCCTAAGTTTGGGATTAAAAACGTGAATCCTTGGTTTTGTAATGAGCTTAAATGTTCCGTGGAGGTTGAGGTGACTATGAGTGCGACTTCTTGACTTGATAGAAGGCGGGTTTTGTTTGTTTCAATCATGTGTACATAGAAGCTAATGGGGCAGCGGATATTCTTGGAAAGTGGGGGGATGCTATCGGATTTAGCAGTTGTGCGTGGCTCTTTGTAGTCTGTTCTGTGATTGACTTTGTAACGCTCTCTACTTAACAAAATTTAGTGTCTTTCTCTAGAAAAGATTGACTTATTAACGTTTTTTAAAGTTTTAGATAAAATCCCTATATTTTTTTTTTTTTAAATTGTCTTTCGATTAACTTGAATTTTGATTATTTTTTGTTTAGTTTTTTTTTCCGTTTGTAGAGCAGTGCCCCAAGCTTAAAAAAATTTAAAAATAAAAAATAGAGTTGATCGAGGGGTAACTTTAAAAAAAAGTAAAAAAAAATGGGTCGACTAGTCTTCTTTGTATACTCGGCCTCTAAAACGAAGCATTTTGTATTTTATCTAAAATTTTAGGTTATGTAAGAAAATCACTAAAAA